ACCCATACATTCAACAGCCCACACTGGAGGGAGCTCCGATATCAGGAGTGGGCGATCTTATGCAGAAAGAGCCACTGTGTATGCAGGTTTTGACTGCAACTCCCTACTTAGATTATTAATTAGACGACTGATTGAGGAAGACCTCTGAATCATCTGCCGGACGGGAGGAGATCAAAGAGACAGTGTCCAGGGTGCGATGGGTCAGTGACGATTTTTCCTGCCCTTTTCCTGGTTCTTGACGTGTATACGTCCTGGAGGGAGGGCAGGGGGCCACCAGTGATATATTCTGCTGTACTAACTGTCAGTTTCAGTCTGTTCCTGTCCTGTTTGGTGGCTGCGCCAAACCAGACTGTGATGGGGGAGCACAGGACGGACTCGATGACTGCTGAGTAGAACTGGATCAGCGGTTCCTGTGGGGTGGAGGGGTGAGCAAATACAAGCCACAGCTTCTCTGTCATTGCAGCTTAGTTTTGTTTGTATCCTGCATTTCATTCTTAAGCATATAAGTGCTTCACTAAAGACATGAGGGGGGTTTGCTAGCTACGAATGAAGACAGGTCATTTTATTTCTACCCAAAATATATCGAGGCTGAACTTACAGGTTGGGGGCCCCCTAGTGGCTGCTGCGGCCTTATGCATCTGCATAGTCCACATAAGGTAAGAAACGCCCCTGGGGGCAGCTTCACTGAGCTGGCTGAGCTGCCTTTGGGGTGGGTGAAAACCTCTACAGCACTATAACAGCAGGAGGGGAAACGGCTGGGCAAGATGTTTGCGTCTCTATTGTTATGCTTCTAAAATCAGTGAAGAAAATAGTTTTCCAATTTTTAAAGTTCTCTAGCAAATTCAGAAATCTACAGAATCCTTACCTTAGAAACATTTTATTGCTGTATTAAAACTGACGGATATCTGTCCGAAACAAACTGCAAGGTAACTTTCTCTTTTCCGCATGCAACCGAGCAGTAAAGGAAACTGATTTACCTATTATAGTGCTGTATTCTTACATTACACACTGAGAAGTTTTGTGGCAGTAACAGTAAATGCACAATTTTGAGTTTCCTGGACCGAAAAGCACATCTAACCCCAGGGTTGCAGGAGAGATTTTTGAAGATTTTCCTTCAGATGTTAGTCTAATGATGCATCGTACCATGTTAGTTTAATGCTGTCCTCCGTCATTGTACGGGAAACACACCCCTGGCCAGCATGGGGCAGCAACACACCCATTACAGGGAAGACATTCAGGTCAACAGCCGACAGCCTTACAAATATACTCAGTGTGGCAGCAACAAATAGCTTAAGATGCTTTTAAACTTAATCTAACGGCAAATTCTCTTTGGATTAACACTTTCAAGCTTTACATATAAAGGTCATAAGACCCAAAAACATGGTGCAGGACCCACAAAGTCATGCCCCCGGCTTGTTTGCTCCATGTTCTGAGCAAAGACACCATCAATATTCAAAGAGAAGAACAGAGTCATTACAGGAATCATCAAGAGTCAGAATGAGCATAATGGAGCCACAGACAAATAAAAAACAGTGAGGATTTATTCAGAATAATTACAGATAATTATAATGTACATTTTAATATTGTAAAGAGGACAATAAAGGTGAGAAAATCACACACACATATTTACAAAAGACTGGCAGGTTGTCCTGAGTTACTGGTCCTTCCCAGTATGAGTCTTTGCAGATACACTTTTCCATGCCAGTCTGTACAAGCAAATGTCCATCTGCTACCCAGAAAAGTCTTTCAAGTCTAATAAAATGAATTGTAACAGATCATTGATAATCTGGTGACTGTTCATCTGACCAGCTTGGTTATACAACAGGACTTGGAAACTTAAGACTGTAGGCAATCTGACAACAACACAGTGTGGTTAGGATCCTTCAGATTTCAGTGCTGCTCTCCTCTGTAACCTGTGGACAGCAGAAGGTGAAGCTGTATTACAACAAGGGAATGTTTGTGACGCCACAGAATTGAGTCAGTAAAAGCCAGTGTGGACTGGAATCACTATGGGAGAGTCTGGGTACTTTACCTAAAACCCAGGATGCAAGTACAAAACCTCACATATGTAGGATCACACATGCACATAGGACAGAGCTTAAATTCCAGGTGGCCTGAGACAAGGCCTACCCTGGTACAAGAGGTACTCGCTGGCCTAGGCACAAAAGGAGCACCCCCCCCCCACACACACACACACACATAGATAACAAGGGAGGCCAGCATTTCAACTTTTATGGCCCAAAGATTTAGGGGCCTACAGATAGCAGACTGGACCTCAAGGATAGGGGTCACATGGCACAGAATCCCCTCCCCATATATCCTGTCTTACATACCACTCACCCAACAGGCCAACACCCTAAAGGAAGTTTCTTCTAAGTCGGCTTTTGTATACCCTGTATATTGCTAGTCTCAATATACAGAATAATATACAGTTTATATTTGTGTGTGTTCTCAGACAATCTTAGTGTTTTGTGTGCCACCCTTATAGCCGTGTTCACGGAGTATCACCTATTTTATCCCTCACACTTGAACACTTATATAAATTTGAAAAAATAAATATGTATAGCTACCACTGCATATATGTTCTCATGGTTATATCAGAATAATCTTGAATAGTGTAACCAGGTATTGTGATGTGTCCTAACTTTCAGAGGATCTTCTTTCTTTGTTTAACAACCCCCCCATTTTTAACATTCCTCTGTGGCCCTTATCTGATCTTTGTGGCCCGTTAGCAAGCTCTTTGGGCAGTGGTGGTTTAATGGTTATGGAAGCGCACTCGTAATTGAAAGATTGCAGGTTCGAATCCCTGACCAGCAAGGCACCACTGAGGCACCGTGAGCAATGTACCACCCCCAAGTACTGCTCCCTGGGTGCTGAATTAGCTGCCCCCTGCTATGTCACGATGTCACATATGGGTTAAATGCAGAGAACGCATTTCGCTGTGGTGTGTCAGTCACTAAATTCTAAATAAGTCACACCAACCAAAACATGTTGTTCCCAGATGTACAATTTAAATTGGTATTACCCCAAACTAACGGCCACGCTTTAATGTGAATATGTAATGTAATGTCTGTACAATTTACCCAAAATGTAATATCTGTTGAGGTGCAACCCAAAACACCTATACCGTATACTGATGTGAGTCAGTAACACACATAATATAAGTGATTGTTGATTAATTAATACAGATGGTATGAGGTGTGAACCGCTAGGCTGGTATGGCATGTTTGGTGTCAAACTGATGGACAATCACTCCAGATTCACTCCAGATTCAAAATCTGGTCAGTGGTTACCATGAAACTGCATGTATCAAAAGTTACACCAGCGTAATGAAAATCATCAGCAAAGGGGGAATCGATCTGGTCATAAATCGCAAAAGGACTGATACAGACCCCCTTCCGGAAGCCTGCCAAATGGATGGTTAGCCATTGGTCCAGGAGTCGAATTCCTGGTCATCCCTATTCATGAACTTTAGACCAATAAACCTGGCACCTCAGAACAAAGCCTCTGGAGAAGCAGAAACAACATCAGCCCGAAGAGAGGCGGAGAACATCAGCCCAGGAGAAGAGAAGCCCTCCTGAAGCTCTCCTGAAGTCTGCCGGTGAACGTCTGCTACCCAACAGAGAACTGCAACCAAGACAAAGCCTTCCACCATAAAGCTTCACAAGGAGAGAAAATCCAAGGGGCTCCACTCCGACAACCGCTCCAAACGCTGCGCCTTCCTGAGTGCCATCATCCCTTCAGCTCATCAGCCTCTGCCACCAACTACCAAGACTAACCCCCCCCCACTCTTCATCCAAGTAAACCAAGTTCTGTTCATTCTAACAACCTAAGCTGTTCTGTTAACCTGCTATATGACTTTAGGGTCGTGTTTCCACAAACTGGGCTTGCTTTGCAGAACAGTATTTCCCATTTCAGGTTACTCATTTAAATCCGGTCATTGCAATTCCATAATTACATTGTTTGTTTCTATTCCATTATTTCGTGTTTATTGTTTGTGTTAGGTGTAATGTCTGTCTTTTTTTAGTTGTAGTGTTAGCTAGGAATAAATGCATGTCTTTTACAGTACACCACTTCAGCCTCCGTTCATTGAGTGCTCACAATAGTCCCTGCCTCTGTGCGGTCTAGTTACACGCCCTGAAACCTCAAACTCGCCTGAAACATCGCGAGACTCTCTCTCATCGGCCGTGAGGGGAGCTTCGCTACCAATCGTGTACATTACCTGGTGATGCAGCTCGCTGGACGAGCCTTCTAACCCAGGTTACTAAGCGATACTGGTAATTAGTGAATCCCATTTAAGTCTCACATTAACAGACTCACAGGGATACCGCAATTGTGTTTGGAGGAACCAACCATCCGGCATAACAATTAGTTAATAATCACCATTAAATAATAATTAATTAAAATGAAATCAATTTTAAAACATATTGGTGGAGATATTAAAGTTTACTTGAGCTAATAATTCCTACACATATAAATGACCTTCCTAATACATATATATACAATATCCCTACCTAAGGTCAGTCCAAAACTAGTTATTTAACAGTATCGTTGTATTAAATCAGCATGTGTTATTATAATTAAACATGCATGACGCCCCTAGTGCATATTTACCTCTGTGTTTAGCTCATTGTGATCAGCAGGTGATAATGTCTTCATCTCCAGATTGTCATGTGATCCCTGTAAAAGGGCGACTGTAAGCTGATTCATTTCATATTAACAGGTTTTGTCAAACAAGTCATGTAGTGACTGTGAAGTTATATTTACCTTTCAGTTTACAGGACTTGGTTAAAGTAACCAAACATTAAAGAACTGCTTACATCCCAACAGGTATAACACCAAGTTACATATTATACTGCATGGAGAGTGTGGGGAGATGCTAACTTCCTTATTCCTGTGAAGGACACTGTAAAAACTGACAGGTAACAGTGTCCTTGGATCCAAAGTGGAGTAAATGACTGGAACTCTGAGAATCACAGAGCTGTTGTTCCTCTGTTTACCTCCTCTGTGTTTGGGCCACTGGGGTCAGGGGGGGGGGACAATGCAACAGTCTCCTCATTGGCACGTGATACCTGCAGAAGTGGGTGTTAAGTGACCAGTTGTTAAGTGACCAGACCATTTCACTATTATTTCAAGTACACTGGGTATGTTTCACCTTGTGGCCATGGTAAATGATGATAAACACAAACCCGAGACATACAGTACATGTTCAGGTTTGACAAATTATCCGAGATACATAAACCAATAAAGAAAGCAGGCCGGTCTGGGCCCCAGCTGACCACAGGGGGGGCTTACAGGGAGGGGGGGGGAGGGGGGGACCTACAATGTACTGCCATTCGTAGTCCTTGTTCTCTGAGATGATCCGGCGGGAGGAAGCGCAGTGCTTCACTGCAGGGGCACAAAGAGGGGTTCAGACTGTTAGGTGACAGAAACAGACCTGGCACTGGAGTGAAGGCAAACGCGTGACCAAAGGTAAATTAATCCTCCTCCATCCTGAATCCATCCAGAGGAGTGGAAACGGAAGTGCGGTCCTGTACTCACCCTGGCAGGATGTGCCGGCCTGGCAGTGGGTCATGTGCTTCAGGACCTTCCTCATGGTGTCGCAGTCGGGCATGGAGCACGACCACATAGCCCCGAGGACCTGCTCATACTGCAGGCACTGGATGGCATGTTGCAGGAGCTCCAGCTTCTTCGGGGGGCAGAACAGCAATCTCATCAGCAGAGGTCACTGTATGTTTGTTACAGTCACCAAAACAGCCTTCATGCTCTCTATGCTCTGCATTCTGGGCTTGGGCCTGTAAACCTCAGCTGTGTTTCTCCATCATAATCAGACCGGTTTCTGTGCGGCTGGAAAAGCTCGATATCTGAAGCGCCACTCAAAGCCCTTTCCCTCGAGTCCCCATCTGAACGTGGTCTGGGGCCCCTGCAGGTTTGGGGGGCAGCTCTCCAAGTGCTTTCCCAGAATGCCCCACTGGAATTTCTCTTCCCCACCGGCTGGCATCAGAAGCGAAGGTGACGTGAGCTCATATGCACAGTCAGCAGGAATGGTCCAGATACAACATACCACAGCAGGCAGTGCGGCAGTGATCTCTGCAAAATGGATACATCAAATGCCATGGTGGCATACACAGGGGGGCTATAGAAATTCTGGGCCCCCAGTGGGGGACCCAAGCTGCAGCGTAGCCTGACGCACCTCCCCAGGAATGTATGCAGGTTATATTCGGCTGTTAATGTACAGGCCCTGCAGCTGGCCGTGTGCCTCACAGACGACGCTGTCCTGCCTCCCGCTGCTCAGCCCTGGGGACAGACACTAGTGGGGGCGCCGAAGAGCCAGTTTGGGAAGTGTGTTCAACCGTACCTGCCGAACAGTGACCTGGGGTGTCGCTGCAGACAGTGGGGTGAGAGTCTTTGGGCATCAGTTAATGACACCCAGGACCTGGAGTGGGGGGCTACCTGCACACCCCCCCCCCGGCGTATAGAGCGAGCTGCCAAGGACCAGCTCAGAGAGAGTTTGCTCCTGTCCCCCACCCAGCATCCCCACTGTCACGCCCCCAGAGGCTGAAGAGACCATCAGGTGTCTCCAGTAATTTTGGGGGACACTGTGCTTCCCTTAAGGGAGGAGGAGGCACTTCTTGGGGCAGAATAACGCCCGGGCCACTCGAGGATGGGGGCAGGCCACTCCCCAACCTTAGTTCAATTTCTATTTCAATTTATTTTTCTATTGTGCCTTTTACAACAGAGTCCCAATGTGCTTTACATGGGTGTGTTGTAATACATTACAATATCATTAAGAGACAGTTCTTTTGGCTTGGTGGCTGCTGTCCATTCATTGCTGTCCAGATAATGCATTCCTAGCGTCGTCATGCACGGAATGCAGGGGAAGGCGTTTGTATTAGGCTGTGCATTGCCGTGACTTGGAGGGGGTGGAGTGGGGGGGAGGTAACTGACTCGGACGTGAAGAAGGGCTGTTCAGTTTTGGCTTTTGGTTCAGGGCTGTGGATGATGAGCGTACCAGAGTGTATGTGCAGATTATACAAGCTGTTCTTCGCCAATAAACATTTATTTTGTTAAATCAGCCTCTGTCTGTGTTACAGTGTCATATGAGCGCCTTCCCTATCATGTTTAACAGCAGGAGCCTGTGACCATGGAGAATGTGCTGACATGTTCCTGTGTGCTGGAGTCATAATAAGGGCTCTTCCTCTACCTCAACAGACTCCACACTTACAGGGAAGGAGGAAGAGCACAAGGGACACAGATCTGCTACAGAAACAAGTATGTATAATAATCTGAGGGAAGATGGTCAGACTGATGTAGAGAAACAGGCCCCAGGACACCAAGCAGAGAGGCAGATGCATCTTGGACACCTACCTGGTCTGGCTCAGGATCTTGGTGTCTCTGAAGATGGCTGAATGCTTTTTTTATTCTAAAAAACAACACAATTTACAGCTGTCACCTTCACTCGATTAAACTCAATTACTCAATGATTAAAAAGTACTGATTCAAAATTTCCTTCCGTTACTCAGGAATATGGCAGAAGGAAGGCGGCACACAGCAGATGGGGGAACAAATAAGGAGGTGAAAGCATCAGGTGTGTGGAAGCTCTTCACATTAAAGGGGAATGAAAGGAGCAGCTGTCTGTCAGTATTGTAAAGTAGAACTTAAATATCACCACAGCACTGCAATGAGAATACATCTTAAATGAAGACATTCAGCTCCACACTGCAATATTTGATGTTTTTATGATATTTAGGAGTTGAGTTTTAACTATACAGTCAAACAGAACTGATCTACCAACAGAGTCTGTCAGATAAGTTGCTGTTGCTGTAAGTTGTGCCAACAGACACAAACAGTGCTGACAGATCACTTCCTGCTCAACGTCGTCTGTATGGGATACTGGGAGGTTTCCATGCAGTGAAATACGATTGTCTTTTTGTGACCAATTCTTGTCATTCATTTGTGTTTAATTTTTCACAAATGACCCACACAGTCTATGGAGCCAGGAGCAGAATGATTATGATTGTCTCAGAGAGAACAGGGAGGGCTCATGCAAAAGCAGCGGTGGTAAACGTTACAAAAAAATTGTTTTTTTCTTCAAATATACTAGATATTTTTGAAATGGAACCATCATTAAAATATAGTTGGTTCATTGCATTTCAGCTCGATAATCAAGCTCTTGTATGGGAACCGTACCCAGGGGCATCTGAAGCGGGGGGGTTGGGTGTGTCTCCCCCAATATTTAATTCGGCTTCATTCACCACCCCAAATAATGACACCTTTGTATTTAAAATAGGGATGCACTGATTGCGGAATTAGAGGCTGAAACCAATGTTTAAAATAACAATTGGGCTGATAGCTGATACCCATGTTGTTTGTTTTTGTTAATTTTGTTTATACTGTTATTTATTTCCCCAAGGAAACAAAAAAATCAAATAAAAAAATTACGTATTTCAAAAAGTATTTCAGCCCTTCATTTTTGAATGACAAATCACTTGTGCACAACGTACTTGTTTCCCTCTACTGCTAGCTATTGGATCTTCTCCAAATCTGCAGGTCAGCACAACCAGTGTTGCCAGATAGGGCACCTCACACCCCCCGGCTTGGACTCTGTGTAGTTTGCGTGGTGACTCAGTGGGTAACACTGGCACCTCACACCCCCCGGCTTGGGCTCTGTGTAGTTTACGTGGTGACTCACTGGGTAACACTGACACCTCACACCCCCCGGCTTGGACTCTGTGTAGTTTGCGTAGTGACTCAGTGAGTAACACTGGCACCTCACACCCCCCGGCTTGGACTCTGTGTAGTTTACGTGGTGACTCAGTGGGTAACACTGGCACCTCACACCCCCCGGCTTGGGCTCTGTGTAGTTTACGTGGTGACTCACTGAGTAACACTGACCCCCCACCCCCCTGGCTTGGACTCTGTGTAGTTTGCGTGGTGACTCAGTGGGTAACACTGGCACCTCACACCCCCCGGCTTGGGCTCTGTGTAGTTTACGTGGTGACTCACTGAGTAACACTGACCCCCCACCCCCCTGGCTTGGGCTCTGTGTAGTTTGCGTGGTGACTCAGTGGGTAACACTGGCACCTCACACCTCCTGGCTTGGACTCTGTGTAGTCTGCATGCTCTCCCCATGTTCCCCCAAGTACTCCGGTTTACTTCCAGTCCTATATCATGAGGTTGGACCAACTGGCATCTATAAACGTCCTATCATATGTTCATGTGTCTGTGCTCTGTGATGGACTGGCATCCTGCCCAGGGTGTCCCCTGCCTTGTGCCCTGTGCTTCCGGTGACAGGTGCCAGGCTCACTGTGACAGATGGATTCAATTCTTAAAAATAACCAGTAAATGTTATATTCTACATTTAAAAGTCTACTCACGTTACTTTTGTTGTCAAATCTGTAAATAATAAAAGTCAAACAGTGACTCGATTAACTGTTTTGTAGTTCAAAATAGTAAAACATTAACGTGGTTAATAATGTAACAATATCTAATATTGATTACTTTACATTACAGTCCTACACCACTGAAACAACATCATAAAGGCAGACCAACAAAGCTCAAAATATTAAAGCAGCAGTGTTATGAAATGTTATGTTCTGAGCCACACAATGTGGTGAATAAATAACATACTGTGCTCATAAATGAAATATTCATCTAGGTTAAATGCAGGACATGTAGGTCAGATAAAATGTCACTATAAGCATTTTCTGTTGTTTTATACTGCAATATTGTTAAGCACAGTCACTCAGTAACTACTGAGTGATTACTCAGTTTTCTGTTTGATTACTTTCTTTTATACTGGGTTACTGCCTTTCTTGCTTATGTCAGTGACTGGGGCACGGCAAGATGTAAACAATGACTGGAAATCTATCAACACAATGAAAAACTCCCAGTATACATATTCAGCCTTTGTGGAAAGTTATGCATCATATCTCTGTTATACTTTATTTATTTATTTATTTATTTTTAATTATTATCTCTGTTATACTTACAGTATGCAGACATCTGTATAACAAACCAGCTAAAGAGGAAGACAGACCCAGAAATCAGGACAATCAGCCGTAGATCCAATGGCTGTTTCCCTGTGTCTGAAATGACATCATCACAAAAATCACTGAGAGCTGAGGTCAGTAAATGAGCAGTAAGTGACACACAGGGTGACCAGCGGCGTGACTCTGAAAAGGAGGACAGCTGTGTCCAGAAAGGGGGACTGAGGCTCAAGAACGAGGAAAAGCTGTTGGGGGGGGGGGTACAGCCATTCTCAGCTTCCATAGTATGTGTTTGTAGTGTTTCACATTTTATTTGTGACTAAAATGGTGGGAAATGGCGCTAGTTTTTGACGGGGCTCAAAGAAGGACACTCAAGAGCAGTGAGGATGGGGGGCTGGAAAACGGCACAGTCTGGATGAAATCCGAATGAATGTCACCCTAGTGACAGATAATAAACTACAGGAATGCATATATACATAATTCAGTTGCACTCTTAAGTTTACATAGTAACACTAAATATGCAGGAGAAACATCTCAAAGTTATAGTGTATTTACCTGCTTTGAGCTTTAATGCTACAGCCAGGGCAGCAGAATTCAGGAGAGGGAGACCAAGAGCCCCTGAGAAATGTACATATTTACGGGGTTTGGCTGAAAGGTAGAGAGAAAAGCATTAGTCACACAGCTACATATACATACATTTAAACAGCCATGTGTATATAATTTGGGTTCTCATTATTTAACATGTTCAATTTCTTTAATTTTATACTTTCATTTTTAATTTTTTTTTTATTTTCTAAGTGTAACTGATTTATCAATTAGGAAACTTTAATTTTGACACACAAACAGATTTGAAAGTTTAAGCTTAAAAAAAAGCTCTGTACCAAGGTGTCTATCCCGAGACCAGTCATTATTGTCTGTGACAATCAGAATGTAGATGAGCACAAACTCGCAGATCTTTACAGGTCGTTCTGCAGTCAGGATTACAGAATGACAACAGAGTTAATGATGTGAACAAGTTGCTGTTCCTCTAACATCAGTCAATACAGGGACAAGCATAAACAGAACAGAATTTGTGACAAAACCACGACATCATTTGAATCAGATGTGCATTTTACAACTTGAAAAAGGTATGACTTTAAAGAGCATTTTTACTGTATGTTCCTTAACCATTATTAAACTGTTACTAATCATTTGGGAATAAAATGAAAGATTCATTCACAAACAAATTTAGGAATGTATGACAATCATACCCTGCTCCTGGTATTTATAAAACAGCTTGTAAATCACTTGTAAACAAAAAACAATGGGTTAGTAAGCAGTAACTCTGAACTGAGCTATAATTGAACATTTGCAAGCTTTTTAGTAAATACTTTGTAAGAAAGGAATAAGATATACCTTTGTTTTCTAAATTTGATTTTAAGTGAATCTCTTTATTTACTAATTTATCAAATGATTCATAACACTTCATTAATAGCTAAGCAACAGACCATTAAGGCTCAGGTGTGATTAAAAGGTCTGACTGTGTTGTTTTTGAGCTGCAAGTGATTTACAGGCTCTTTAGTGAAAACTTTGTGAGACAAAGTTCAGCTGAATCCAGGCTCTCCTGAAATCCTGGTTCCACTTCCAGCACTCCACTGCCCTCCTCGCCGGTTGGACAGACTTCAGTTCCTGCTTACAGAAACACTGACGAGTGCTCAGACTTGCCAAAGTATGGAAGTTTGTTGGGCTTGTAGGCCCCCTTGAATGGGGTGAAGCAGAGATTGAGGGTCCAGTCTCCCCTGGTGAGGCAGGTTACGTGTTGGTGTCATTTTGGGAGGATTTTCTTTAAGTTGCAGCAGTTGAAGTCCCCATGATGACAGAGATCACTTCTAGGTCGCCACAGCCAAAGCCTCCAACAGCAGTGAGAAGCACTGAGGAAAACTCACTGGGCAGGTAGAATGGTGGCACTTGATCATCAGGAAATCCAACACTGATGAGCAGGACTTGGAAACCGCTTCCACATCAGGGCACCAGTTGCTGTTGATAAAGAAGCAGACAGCGCCTCCCTTTGTCTTGCCGGTGCTGTCTGTGGTGCAGTCTGAGTGGTATACAGTGAAGCCCGGGGCTGTACAGCACTGTGCAGTGTTTGGTTACTGCCAGGTCTCGGTAAAGCAGAACACACTGCAGTCCCGAAGGTCCCTTTGAGAGCCGATACTGCAGTGTAGCTCGTCGGGCTTGTTTCCCAGAGGCTGGGGGTTCGCCAGGAGGACAGTGGGGGAGGGAGGCTGGGATGAACACTGTCACAGCCTGGTTAGCACGCCGCCCCACAGCCCCCTCCCCCACTGGGTCTGACCATGGTCGGTGCTGTTTGGTCTGGTCATAGTGTTTTGAACAATTTTGTCAGGTAAATCAGGAATGAAAGGTTTGTGGGGACATTATGCTTAATGTTCAGCAGAGTGTGGAGGTCATAGACAATAAAACGTCAAGCTACACGTATAAAGACGCTAAAAAACAACAAAAACACACAGTAGGGGGAGAGCAGCTCGTAGCGTGTCGCTATGGGAGATGTAATACATTTATAAATTTGTAAGTGAATCTTTTTATTTACTAACATATTACCAAATGATTAGTGACACTTTATTAATGGTTAAGGAGCAGATCATAAACAAAGTGTTACCAGTTTTCCTTACCTTCGTCTAAAACCAGACTTAGATACAGGAGACTTAATATTAGGTGCAGTGAGAATAAAATCCCCAAAAGGATTTTCTGAGCCAGATCTAAAAAACATAAAAATGTGAAAAACAACAGATTAAATACATGTAACATAAAACAGACCTTTATTAAATATTTTCCCTCTCTTCATTTTTTGCTAAAACATCCTTGAGTCGGGATCTCAGTGGAGGTGGGAAAATCCCTGTCACATCCCGTCCGAAACACGCCTCTTTTATGACGTTGATGTCGGACAGAATTTTGTTGTCCGAGTTGCTCCTGTGTCGTCATTTCAACACAGCGGCTTACACAGTGAACAGTAATTCTATTTTATAAATATTTAAAAATGTTTATTATCTTAAATGTATTAATAGTTATAAATGTAATTGCACGTGTTCGATTCAGAGAATACCATATCATGACCGTAAACAGTATGCTAGTATGCAATATCAGATTTTTACCAAACTTGTTAGTGTCTTTTGTTTGTTTGTAGTTTGTTTGCCTCTTGAAAAAAGAATATCGCTATCAATATACTAAAATATTTTATAAAGCTTTTAATGTGGTTTGACTAATTTGTGTTTCTTGTTTGTTTGTCTCACAAAAAAAATAATCTCATTCCAAATCTGCTAAAATATAAAGCAACAACACACAACAGCCTGTTCATAGAGGCAGCCATGTTTGTTCCAAGAGGTGGTAGCTCAAACGGGAGATTGTCGGACGTGATGTCACTCACCTTCGAATTTCCGAGTTCCGTGAGATAATCAAACGCACCATTACTTTCCTCATTGACTGCATTAACATGAGAATAAACTGATTATGTTGATAATCCAATTAAGGAATTGCATTCACATGACTACCTAACTGGGTTACTGGAGGAAGTTATTTCTTTGGATTTATTCAGATCCGGGTCACTCAAAAACTGTTCGAAAGTGAGCATGATTTGCTGCATGCGCGGTGCCAATATGCACAGTCCGATATTGTTGTGTTAGTGTTGTTCCTACAACATCATAATTAATGTAGCACCAGGAAAATCACTGAAACTGACGCATCACGCTGTTGTGACATCACAGCCTGGCGACTTGGGCAGGAAAAAGGCTGGTAAAAGGAGCAATTCTAGAAATGCTAGGTGGTATAAACAGATTTTGAATAAATAGGTTAGGACATTTACATGACATTCGAGTAATCAGTTTAAGGGCCACACACTGATCATAATTGCAATCGGTTTAATAATAAATCGGTTTATTATGGCTAATGTAAATGCAGTCGGTGCTCACGGTCCAGGTTCTGTGCTCCTTACACCAAGTTGGATAGAAATGGTTTCTGAATGGCTACCCTGTCTGTCTGTCTGTCTGTCCCTGTCTGTGTGCTTTGACTCATGACCCCTGTTCCTCTTTGCCGATGCAGTCTGCCTGTGTTTGGCCTGTGCTGTCAAAATTTTTCATACTTTCCCCCTGATGTATTAATTTTGCTGTTTTTGTGACCGATGCACAGACTAGTTACTTGGTTAGTTGCTTCACTTTGTGTCAAAAGCACATATCCCCCGCTGAGGCCCAAACTGGTTTTCTGTTTTTTTTTTGTCCACCTCCATATGTCTTAATTAAACTATTCCATAAAAATTGAGAAACATAAGTTGAACAATAGTAACAATACTAAACCTTATTCTAAAAGGCTAATACACATCTAGTGGCTTGACTTTCTAGTTCCGGTCCTGCATGCTGATTGGCTTATAGATTTAATTAAATGCATGCAATATTGACAGGTGTGTTAAGCCCTGTGAGGAGTCTACCTGATTACATTTGGGTCAGATATCACTAAGCAAAACAGAGATTCTTCACAGATTCCTCAGAGACCAAAAACGGTGACATCAAATCTTTTAAAAGGCAATTTATGGTTCAATTTCGGGCAAAGTACGCTCTCTGAAGAAAGGTACCTATTTCTTCCTCAGAGCTCATTTCTGTGCTTGATAAGGTACAGTAACCTACAGCTAAGGGTACATTTACCAGACCCTTGATGGTACACCCCAGTGACAAATAAAGGTACAAACTGGTACTGGCAGTCTATCGCAGGAAGCACAGACATGATGGGAAGGTGTTTAACCATCAGAGGGTGCTCAAATACACAGAGTCACTAATGTACCGCAGACAGCCTGTCTGTCAAAAGTGGACCAGCCAAAATGCCAAGCAGATACTCAGCATAAGAACTCAATGAAAAGCCCACTGATACCACAGCCTGTTGTTTGTGTTACTGTGTATAATTGAGTTCTAATACTGTGGTTAAAAATACATAATTAACACAGTGATAGAAATGATCAGCTAATATTACTTTTACTTAGACTGCATCCTAAAATAAATGTTCAGAAAAACACTTGAGAAACCAAAATGATAAAATCATATGATTAACCAGATATAATACATCTGCACTGAAATCCAATTATAGGCAGACAAGCAGATAAGCACCAGACTGAGGGGAATATAATAAGTTACACTGAATTCTGATCATTTTTACTGTTTGTGCAGAACATTATTGCATTACTGCAGGTCAATAACAAATACTTACAGAAATGTCTGAATGAGCGCAGGCATATTTTGGCAATAAAGCACGCACATATTCCGAAAGGAACAACTGTAATCGGGATGAAATATCCTGAAATCAGAAAGTAAACGTTACTGTACATTAAACCCCACCCTGAATTCACACATTCAATTATAGCTATGAATATAAACTTAAACATAGTTAATGCCTGAGTTTAACATGTTTAAAATAAAAGTTCAACACATTTAAACACCCTACACATTATCTGTCCTTAAGCTCTCTTTATCAAAGTACAATGTACTAGGGGTTACACAACTTAAGAATTTTTTAAATCGACAGTTGTGTGATGAAAATCGAGTTGATGTTCACTAATCGCTGATCACATTATTAATAAAACCACACGAGAAGGGAACGCTTTGCAACAAGCTGCAATCTGTATTCACAAAACATAATACATATGCTGACAACAAATAACTCATACAGATGTGGAACAGAAACAAGCAGAAACGTCAACAGCAGGTTGCAACTCAGCAGCACAAATTGATGCAGCAGTAACACTCATATGTATAACTTCCGTTGAAGTGCGAAAGAAGAAAGATTGAAATTTCAGTATGATAAAACTCACACGAGATCCAGCCTTTACTCCTGCTCCTTGCTGTCACACTTTCTCACTGAAGTTCAGGGGGGGATTCCACAAAGAAGTATTTCTTCATTTGCCAATAACTTAAGGCAAATGTAAGGATTGTCCAATGGGGATGTCACTTACCTCCCTTCCAATTGGACAGTTTTCACATTTGGATTAAGATATCCAGCTAACTGGGAAATCCTGCTTTGTGGAATACCCCCCAGGAACCAAGGGCCTCATTTATAAAGAATGTTCCTAAATTCTTGCAGGAGGTATAATCTTTGTATGAAAATCATGTTTGTATGAAAACTCACCCTTCATATGTAAAGTAAAAGTTAAATTTATAAAACCTTGCATAAACCACAATATGCATTGTACAGGTTATAAATCTACATATTGTAGAAACATTTGCGCGATTAAGAGACTGCCCCATTCACACCCACTAATCACCCTACACTGGCAATGCAAATTAGCCACGTGTATGTAAATGTGCACATCTTACACTTGCAATGCAAATTAGCCACGTGTATGTAAACGTGCACATCTTACACTTGCAATGCAATTTCAGAGACAATGGAGCCAAAAACAAGAGGGAAAAAAGGAATTTCTCAGAACGCGAAGTGCAGACTTTTTATAGTCCAAAGTAGAGCAACGGCAAACCATTTTATTTGGTAGTGAGCCGACATCTGCCAGTGTGACAGTAAAGCGGGATGGCAGCATGTGACAGCTGCTGTCAATGTGGTCAGTTCAACAAGCCAGACAAGGATAGACATTTAAAAATAAGATCAGCCATTAATTAGCAAGTGTTTCTAGAATCCCTTCGTAACTAAAGTAGTTTGTTATCGTACTTGTATAGATATAAGTGCTCCAAAACACTCGTTACTTTCTACCTCATTCATATAATGAACTGCTGTCCTGTAACAGAGACAGAGAGATTGACCAAAACAGGTCACAAAATAGAGTGACACTCTTTTTGGGACAACATAATGATTTTGATGATAGAATAAGAGGTCAACACTGCAATAAGAAACTATAACATAGACTGTAAATTAGTGCAAAAGGGGCTTGTGTTGTAACACCTGTATGCCCTTTGAGTACATAACAGGGCTATACATCATTCAGAACTGAATTGAGAATGACGTTGAAATTCAAATTCAATTAATGAAATCGGTGGAAAACAGGATGCAGAATTGCAGTTTGAATTTGAATATATGGAGGCTGAATGACCGGGTTCCCCGAAGTGCTCTGTGGGGGGTGCTTCGAGAGTATGGGGTCCGGGGTCCGCTGTTGTGGGCGATTCGGTCCCTGTACGAACGAAGCAGAAGCTTGGTCCGCATTGCCGGTAATAAGTCGGACGTGTTCCCAGTGCGTGTTGGGCTCCGCCAGGGCTGCCCTTTGTCATCGGTCCTGTTTATAATATTTATGGACAGGATTTCTAGGTGCAGCCAGGGTGTTGAGGGTGTCCAGTTTGGTGGCTTCTGGATTGCCTCGCTGCTTTTTGCAGACAATGTCGTCCTGTTGGCTTCATCTGCTGGGGATCTCCAGCGTGCTCTGGGCCGGTTCGCAGCCAAATGCTAAGCGGCGGGGATGAGGATTAGCACCTCCAAGTCCGAGACCATGGTTCTCAGCCGGAAATGGGTGGATTGCCCTCTTCAGGTCAGGGAATAGGTACTGCCTCAAGTGGAGCAGTTCAAGTATCTCGGGGTCTTGTTCACGAGTGAGGGTAGGCGAGATCGGGAGCTGGACAGACAAATCAGAGTGGCGTCTACAGTTTTGCAGGCGCTTAACCGGTTCGTCGTGGCTAAGAAAGAACTGAGCCGAAAAGCAAAGCTCTCGATCTATTGGTCCATCTTCGTCCCTACCCTCACCTATGGTCATAAGCTATGGGTAATGACCGAAAGAATGAGATCGCGAATACAGGCGGCCGAAATGAGGTTTCTCCGCAGGATGTCTGGGCTCTCCCTTAGGGATAGGGTCAGAAGTTCGGATATTAAATGCTACATGATTTTATGTGATCCAAATCATATCAGTATTGCTTTTGGGTTATGCGTCGTCTGCGAATTTCAGCGATCTTTCAGCAAGCACCAAAAACAGTCCTGTTTAATTGTTCATGGCCAACTGGCGAATAACCGAAACCGCGAATGTGAAGCGGTCACCGGGCGCGGATTAACGCACAGGCTTTATAGGCTGCAGCCTAGGGGCCCCACATAAAATACTAAGTAGCTGATTGGGTAGATATGGCACTGTTAATTAGGTCAATTGGTTTTCAAATGGTACATCTAGAGCTGTCTCAAACTTGATTACTTAATTACTAAAAAACAGATTAAAAATTTTACTTCTCAATTACTCTGAAATATGGTGGAAGGGAGACAGCGCAGATGAAGGTTAAAATAAAGTGAGAAAACCATCAGTTGAGTGGAAGCACTAATCGTTAAAAGTAAATGAAAATGAAGTATTTCAGTACTGCAAAGCAGAACTTATATCACCACAGCACAACTGCAATGCAAATACACCTTAAAGAAGACTTCTGGGGGTTTGACGGACTCATCCACTAATGCGAGGTTAGCCATAGACATGTGCCATTTAGCCTCTCAGATTAGCCTAGCCTGCTTTTTCATCACTTTGACTTTGCTTAATATATTTTCTACGATTCCGATATGGCAAAATATTCAGAATTGCTGCTAAAACAAAAGTTAACCATGTTATTTAGCTGCATCTTACATAATATAACACATTATGCCAGGCGTAATAGTAGATATTTAGAGAACTAATGAAATAAATTTACTGGAGGTATCACAAAACCTGCAATTAATTATAGGAAAACTTACCCAGTAAAAATGTGCGTTGCATCCAGGCAATAAGCTGGATATAAAGAGTAAGGGTCTGCATATTAAACATCATGTTTAGACCTGTAAGTGTAAAACAGACCAAGTTAGACACAGCACAGTGTTGTGAAAAACTGATCAGGAAGGCTGGCTCTGTTGTCGGCATGAAGCTGGACACTCTGGCCACAGTGTCAGAGGAAAGGACTCTGAACAAACTGCTGGCCATTATGGATAATGTCAGGCAACCTCTGCACACTGTCATTAACAACCAGAGGAGTATGTTCAGTGACAGGATGCTACTCCTCACATCCAGAACTGACACTGTCA